AAGCACAATAGCATGGTTTTGTCAAATCAGGTCACATATTGTGAAAAGTATGGCTGTACTCTCTGCATGGGTAGTACAACTAACTCATAGCTAAAGAGCTACTGCTACTTCTTAAGTACCACAATACTGAGATGTGGCAAAAGGAGAGGAATGCACTGGTGTCTTTATTTTAATTCACAATAGAGCTTGTAAGTCAAAAGTTAAAGCAAGAAAATGAGGGCTCAGGTGAACACAAATGGACTTTGGTACTACATCTAACACTTTTTCAATTGTTGATGCTACTTTACAGAGTCACTATTGTCTAAAGTTTGTTTATGATTTATCAATTACTGGTACATGATGAAGCCATTGTACTGATAAATTATAAACAAAGTGAGTCCTTATAGCATAAATAGAGTGCATGATAAACTATAGAGAACAGTATTATACCTCACATAGGTCATAGTTGGAATAATGGATGATATCAACAATAATTTCACACTGAGTGAAGATGTCAATGGGCCACTACTGGCAGCTGTGATTGGGATGGAGATGCTAGCAGGACTCATTACTAACTCATTTGTGCTCATACTGACTGCCTGTCACTTAAAGAACTGGAAACAACCAACAACTGTATTTCTTTCTAACATGCTTGCAAATAATCTCGTTGTTATTCTTTTTACGATGCCTCTGTCCATCATAACTACAGCTAGTGGTGAGTGGATATTTGGAAGTACAGTGAGCCAAAAGGAAAGTGCATGCTACTTTGCTGCCTGTATATTCATATTTAGCATATTGACAGCAACAGAGAGTCTGGTCTTACTGTCATTTGATAGATTCTTCTTCATTGTGAAAGCCCTTCAATACAAGAAATACATGACTGTCAATAGAGCTTTTATAATTGTTGCTGTTTCATGGCTACTTGCTGCTTTTCTGAGCATGTTACCATTTTTTGGATTTGGAGCATTTGAATTTGCATTCAGTTATGGTATGTGCGTCCCTGGGTGGAGGGGCCAGGCAGGGTATGCTATATTTTCTTTCATTGTTATATCAATATTCATTGGCAGCATTACAGTCACGTCTATATGGACAATGTGTTTCACTAGAAAATATCTTAAAAATGCTGCAACAAACATATCAACTGCAGCAAGCCCAGGTAACCCGTATGCAGCTCAAGAGAGGAGAGTCATTGGATTATTTGGTATGCTGATAATAGTACAC